GACGCTCAGCTGTGGTCGTGCCTGGAAGTAAAAGGAAAATCTGATGCTGGAAAGAAAAATACTGCATAGGAATCTGGAATGTAAGATCCATGAACCTTGGTAAGGTGGATGTGGTCAAACAGGAGATGGCAGGAATAAACATTGACATCCTGGGTTGGGGTGAGCAGGATTGAGATTTTTTCTAAGAAAATCCTACACCTAAATAAGATGAAAGAAAACCATCTCCCCAAACACCAACACTTTGCACATGTTCAAAGAGGAAGTGTGGTGTCGTGGACGGAGTACCAACTGGAAACCAGGGGACCTGAATTCAAATCCCTGCTGGGCCACGGAAACTGAGAGAAGAGAGTGGTTGGCAAGGCTACTTAAGCCACCCCTTGAAATCTCACTGACCTTGCAAATGTTGGAGGGATCTGGGATTTGGTTCTTCAGTTTTGGTCCTAAAAACAGCAAAGAGAATTCAGCTCAGTCTCACCCCTTCCTAGGAGAAAAGAAAAATAGAAAAGATCAGCCTGGGGGCTTCATGGATAAAGCAAATCAAAAACGTTTCCTTCCGGGATGTGCCTTCGTCATGTTTCTATTGAACAGATCTCCATCCCCAATTCTCTCTCTCATCTTCAGGCAGCAGAACACAAAAGCAGGCAGGCAGCGGTTCTTCTCTTCCCTCTGACACATACAATGAAAGCAGCAGCATACAAGATGGAATGTCTCTCACTGTTTATTTGAAATATTTTTATCTTGCCTTTCTCTTTAAAAAAGACCCAAGATAGCTTATGTGCATCAGAAAAAGCCAATATTTAAAAGTGAAAAACTTCAAGACGAGAAGCATTAAAATGAATCAAACCCAAGCTGCACTAAAAATGGTAAACAAAATCAAGATCTAGAAAACACCAGACCCCGTGTGATGGAGTGGGCCGAGGGTTGCACCGGACCCTCTGTTGTCACTTGCCAAAGGCTGCTAAGAAAACCCCATAGTCAGGGGATATGAGGGCGTCAAATCCAATCAAATCAAGTTTATTGTCATTGCAAGTCTATACATAGTATACACATACAACAAAATTCACAGAGACACCCAGAGACCCACATACACACACGTAAAAATATCCTCAAACACTCCACACCCACATCTACACCACAGGCTGAGTAACACTGTCCAGCTGTTCACTACTGGTGGTCTTTAAGTTCATTATTAAGTGCAATTATAGCTCTGGGGACAGAACACAGCGACATGGATAGATTGAAAATATTTGTAAAAACTCCAGCTAATTCTGCAGCGCAGCCCCTAACATCTCATCCCATGATTCCATCTGGTCCAGCTGCCTTTCAAACGTTAATATTCTGGAAAGCGCGTCTCACACCTGTCAATGGTAGATTCTAGTGATTACTATAGAGAGTAGGTGTTGGAATTATTATTATATCTGTTTCCACCTCAAAACGGCTGAAAAATTCATCAAACTGCTCATCCAAATATCACTGCTGCTAAATAGACTGTTTTTGTTATTCCTCTTATAGACTGAGAATCGGTTGAGAACCAGGAAACAGAGAATTTTCAATGGGCAGTTTTCAAAATGGAGAGGGGGGAACAGCGGTGTGCCCCAGGGATCTGTCCTGGAATCGGTGCTTTTCAACCTGTTCATAAATTATCTGTAGACAGGGATAAGCAGTGAGGTAGACAAGTTTTCAGATAACACGAAGCTTTTCCAAGTGGAGAAGACCACAATGGATTGCGAAGAACTCCAGAAGGATCTCTCCAAAATAGGAGAATGGGCAGTAAAATGGCAAATACTTTTCAATATAAGAAAATTTAAGAAAATGTAAAGTAATGCACACTGGGGCATGAAATCAAATTTTTTTTTTCATGAGCTAATGGGTTCTGAATGGTCTGTGATGGATCAGGAAATAGATCTTGGTGTGCTGGTGGATAGCTCGATGGAAGTGTCCACCCAGTGTGTGGCAGCAGTGAATGAAGAAGGCCAATTCGATGGACCTAAGATCAACCTAAGGATCGTATTTCCTTATCAAGTGTGCTGTTTGTCTTTAGAACTGCTTGCAACAGGATGTGGTGACATCTGTCCTAGATGCCTTAAAAAGGGGGATTGGAGAGATTTTAGAAGAAAAGGGAATCACAGGTTACCAGCCATGATAGGTAAAGGTAAAGGTTCCCCTTGACAATTTCTGTCCAGTTGTGTCCAACTCTAGGGGGCGGTGCTCATCCCCGTTTCCAAGCCATAGAGCCAGCATTTTTCCGAAGACAATCTTCCGAGTCGCTAGGGTGGGGGGGGCTTGGACAACAGACGGATGCTCACTCTGTCACGTGGATTCGATCTTACAACTGCTTGGTCTTCTGACCCTGCAGCACAGGCATCTGCGGTTTAGCCATCAGCGCCACCCCGTCCCTCTCCCAGCCATGATGGGGAGGTATAATCTCAAGGTTTAAAAGAAAGGTACCTCAAAAGGAGTGGTGGCACTCAGGGTGGTGGCACTCAGGGTTAAACCGCAGAAGCCTCTGTTCTGCAAGGTCAGAAGACCAGCAGTCATAAGATCCAGGTAGATGTTTCTGAGTTGGTAAATTCCCTGAGGGCAAGTAAATGATGTATAAGGGCGATGTTCCTCTTTAATTAAAATCTGATAAAGCCCTCCTTTTATTCCAATCACAGAAATGTATTCAGTGTTTGCAACAATTTCTACCAACGCCTCAACATTGACTGTAATAAAATGTTTCACCACATTAGTTTCTCCCGGTGAATTCGAGAAGACGTTTTGGTGATTAGCTAACACAGGCTCCAATATCTGTCCTGGGCTAAATTGATCAATGCCTTCACCCCTGAATACCTGTATTGCTGAATTAGCTGTGCTATCAGGTTTGGTCACAAGAGGCCGCTGTTGCATCCAAGTTCCCTCGGGAGTACTCTGCATAGCCTCAGAAACAGTAACAGCATTCTCACCACTTCCTTGGAAAATAGGCTGTTGAAAATAAGAATGGTCCCAAACCTCTGCTTTTCTCTCTAAAGATCTTTCTGAGAAGATTAACTGTGGTACTGGGCCAAAGTTTCCAGACATGATTTCAGTCTCTGGAGAAACATCAGTACTTTGTAATCCCAAAAAGTTAGCGCTTCCCCCTTCATTGGTTGTGCTAGAAACAGTCTCACCATCTGACAGGTTCAAATTCAGCTTTCT